TCTGTGTTTGCTCAACATTGTCTCTGTTGACCTTCAGTTTACGCCTAGCAGTAATATGTTATTATTAATCACTTACCGAGAACGCCTTCTTAATTTTTTATATTTCTACACTGGATTAATGATTGTTATATATTCCCTGTACGCCTTTTTGTATTTTTTCTCCCGTTACACCACTCGAATTTCCGGTTTAATGCAGCCGAAAGAAACAACACATACACTAACTTACAATCCAGCGTTGCCACTCCATTTAGTGTCTCCAGTAATGCATTTAATTTTCATTAATATTTTTCAAAATAAAAACACTAAATCACCACAATATAACAAAACACTTTTACTTTTACACTGGACGCGCCTTTCGCTAACCATGTTAGCATCATCAGCAGATGATTATAAACTAAAGTACAATCTCCAAGTTGAGCGTTTATATACTCGCTCAAAGGAAATTTTTAAGAATGTCAATTATAAACTTGTGTATAGTGCTAATAATAAATTACAACAATTATTAGGTAATCCAAAGGATAAACCACCTCCACTGGAAAGGTCGGGTATTTATGAAATTTCTTGTAAAGATTGTAATCAGAAATATGTTGGGCAAACTAGAAGATCAATATTAGCTAGATTTAAAGAACATTTAGCTCAGATAAGATATGGTAGACCGGATAAATCTTGCGTTGCCGAACAAATTGTTGATAAAGAACATTGTATAGATCTTAATAATTTAAAATTAATTAAACAGGTCTCAAATTACAGGCAATTAGATGCATATGAAAGCATCAGAATTAATAAATGTAAAGATAGTATGAACAGAGTCAACGGTCCAATTCCTTCAAGTTCTTTGTTCCTACTACTCTAGTGGCGGAAATCTAATTCTTACGCTCAGTGGGCTCTGACTCGGTTTGGCTAGATTTTGCCACGCCCACTCGGTGCCCACTGAGCGAGTATATAAACGCTCAACTTGTAGATTGTACTTAGTTTATAATCATCTGCTGATGATGCTAACATGGTTAGCGAAACGCGCGTCCAGTGTAAAAGTAAAAGTGTTTTGGTGTATTGTGGTGATTTAGTGTTTTTATTTTGCTGTGTAACACCAAAGGTTCCAACCCTCAACTCTAATTAATATTTTTGTTAAAATAATATTTACCGACTATAAACCATTAAATGTCGGATTAAAAGACGAAATCGAGTTTTTGTGTACCGTATTCAAATGAACGAATCGTAGTGTAGTAGTCGATTCAATATGAGAAATTGAATCGTGTGATTCGATCCACTAAAAAGAGTCATAATACCCACACTACTATGTACCTACTACTAATCCAATACTTTATTTCGCACGCTGGCTGCTAATAAAATATTAAGTAAATTGAAAATAAAGTATCGCTCCACTTTTCGAGAACGTTTAACCACAGGTTTAACGTCCTATCCCCCGCTTAATCTCGAAACCTGAGAGTTTGTTTAGTTTGTGGTGTCTATATAGCGCTATCTTCAAAATTAAAAAATCTGTCATTATTGGTTAGTTGGTCAGTTATGTATAACAGAAATCTCTTTTCCTTTAGAAGTGACCGTTCCTTATTTTATCGAGAGCTGGTCACCATCGATCCGTGAAAATATTTTATTCTTGTTCTAGAAATAAATAAATGCGTATCGTAGTAAATAAAGTTGTGTATAACAATAGATTCACGAAGTTTATAGGATCTAAGGTATTTACTTGTTGGACAGACTTTACCTGATGATGTAGTATTAGAAGAATACATAGTAAATATTTTATTTTGTCTCTTCATGCGAGGAGAGAAAATTCATCTTTAGATGTTTTACATCGAATTATCTTTAGATTTTACTTTCCTTTTCCTAAAATAAAAAAAATATTAAAGCCCTTAGACAGGGTGTCCCAATACTCCGAGGACATAGAACTATTGCGTATTTTTGGAATCAAAATAAGTTCATTTGACCCAATTTACTTCTATAAATATGTGCTTTCTTAGTCCGTTAGAGGGCATCAAACTTTTTTTCACATGAAGATATTTTAAGAACCGATATTCTGATTTGAATGAAATTTGGGGTGTCTGTGTTTTGCTAAGCGCTTTAACATTTGACTTACACACAAATCAAGAAAAAGAAACACGGAAAGGGGTAAAACCATCCCCATCCCTACATAAATTTTGGTAGAAATATTTTTCAACTCTACAGAGCACCGATTTTTTTTCGTAAAATGATCCTCCTAGTATTTACTAGATTTTTTGACTTTTGTAAAAAAGATACATTGCAGTTTATTCATCAGAAATATTCATACAGAATAATAATATACAGAGAGTTCCAATATTCCGTAGAGATAGTATACTACGTATTTTTTTAATCAAAATAAATTAATTGGCCACATTTTACTTCTATACAAGAGGGCTTCTTTTGTCCGTTAGAGGGCATCAATCAAAAATAAACCCGAACGTTAATTAATTTAAAATTTATGAATCTTATTGTCAAATATCATTTGTAATACTAACATAAAATTTCATATTTTTGCCAACTAGATTATAAGCGCATAAGAGATTTTATGCGCCTATTATATATGTAGCTTGATGGGATATAAAACACTTTTTGGAGGCCGATTCGGAAAAAATATTTTTTTTCCTCAAAAAGTATGCGCGGTGGCGTTTTTTTAAAAGACACAAAAAATGTAGTAAATACTAGAAGACCATTTTACGAAAACAAATATCGGTCGTTGGTGGAGATGGAAAATATTTATACTTTTATGGAAGTCAAATGTTAAAGCACTTACCAAAACATAGACACGCCAAATCTTATTCAAATAGGAATAAGGGTTTTAAAAATATCTCAAAAAATATGTTATTTTTTTAAAGTTTGATGCCCTCTAACGGACAAACGAAGCACTTTTATATAGAGGTAAATTGTGTACTTATTTTGATGTCAAAATACGCAGTAATTCTATGTCCACGGAATATTTGGAAACCATGTGCAAATATCTTCAGGTGTGGTATATTTCGAGCCTGTCTATGCGGTTTTTTCGCAAAAACGATGTTGAGAATCGTGCATTTTCTTTTTAATTTTCTTATACAGTGGTCCGAACTGTATTCCAGAAACTTCGGCAGCATATTCTGCACATAAAATAAGTAAAAGTTCATATAAACTCATGTCCTAAAATGATTCGTTTCGAAGATACAGGGTGTAGAATTTTCATTTTTATTTCGATGTTTTTGAACTAATGTCGATATTTGGATGAAAATTGGTATCTATTTTTTTAACATGAGAAATTTGATTTCGATGTCAATATCACTCATACTTGTAGGGTGCGCCACCTACATGTTTTTTTACTATTTCGAAGAGTAATAACTTTTCGTCCGTCCCTGTAATACACTTCTGAGTGAAAAAATATACATTTACGCCTTATTTTATGTAAGAAATGTAGCTTGGTAAAAATCGCTGCGAGCAATCGTTCTCAAGATATTTGAATTCTTATTAATCAATCAACGACAAAAATTAAACATCTTTACTAGATAGATATTTGAGTAAAATAATACTTTTCGAGACGTTCTGATACCAAAAGCTGTTTTAAAACCTAACTGTCAGTTTTCTCGAAATTTCGTAATATTTGAAAAATATATTTTTTTTTGTAAAAAAACTGCTTGTTTTAACCTAAATACAATTTTTCAAAAATCGCGAAATTTCTAAAAAACTTGTTTAGCTCTTTTAAAACAGTTAGGTTTTAAAACAGCTCGAGTTGAACCTATGATACTAAAATGTCTCGAAAATTATTAGTTCAGTCAAATATCTTTCTAGTGAAAATCTTTAAATTTTGTCACTGATGACATGTATTGATTATTAAGAATCCAAATAGCTTAAAAACGGTTGCTCGCGGCGATTTTTACCAATATACTTTTTTTACGTAGATAAAGGCACAAATGTATATTTTTTCACTCAGTAGTATAATCAGCAGTGTAATACAGGGACGGACGAAAAGTTATTACTCTTCGAAATAGTAAAAAACATGTAGGTGGCGCCCCCTACAAGTAGGAGTCATATTGACATCGAAATCAAATTTCTCATGTTAAAAACCCTAGATACTAATTTTCATTCAAATACCGAATTTAGTTTGAAATTATTAGAAAAAAATCAAAATAAAAATGAAATTTCTACACCCTGTAACTCCGAAACGAAGCATTTTAGGACATAAGTTTATGCTTTTTTGAAAATGTTTAATTTATGTCAATGATGTAATTTGATAATTTCGATTCTCCAATATCTCGAAAACCATTACTCGTAGCGATTTTTACCAAGATATCTTTTTTACGTAAAAAACGTGGTAAATGTTTTTTTGCTCAGTAGTTTTATACAGGTACGGACGAAAAGTTATTACTCTTCAAACGAGTTAAAAAATATGTTGGTGGGGCCCTCTACAAGTAGGAGTCATATTCACATCAAAATCAAATTTCTCATGTCAAAAAACTCCCAGACGTCAATTTTCATCCAAATATTACCGTTACTTCAGAAATTATTTTGGAAAAAATCGAAATAAAAATGAAACTTCTACATCCTGTATCGCCAAAACTAAGCATTTTAGGATACGGATTTTATACGGACTTTTTTACTTATTTTTATGTGCAGAATATGCTGCCTAAGTTTCCGTAATACAGTTCGGACCACCCTGTATATTTTATAAAACTTTTTAGAACTGCCTGTTCATCGCAAATTTTCCCACGCTATATATAATCCTAGGGTATAATTTCTTAATCTCTGATAGTACCATGGTTACGGCACTAAAAGGGATGGAAATACAGAAAAAATGCGGTGGCCATCAAATTTTTTTAAAATTAAATCCATTTTTTTTCAATTTTCATACTTGAATAACTCGGTTATTTTGGACTTTTTTGAAAAACTGTAAAGAGAAAACATGTTTCTTTTATCGAGATCTACCTGAAAATATTTGCATTTATTTAAAACTCGCCCTGTATATTGTACAACTTTAAATAAAATATTTTCCAATTAATTAGATTATAGAAGAAGAAAATTTACAAGAGAATTCGAAAACTATTGGAACTCATCTTTTGTTAAGACTCTCTGAGCTTATGGACGAGTTTGATTTTGTTGGTGATGTACGCGGAAAAGGATTAATGATAGGCGTTGAGTTAGTGTCAGATAGAAATAGCAGGCAACCTTTATCACCAGAGAAAATGACTAAAATTTGGGAAGCGTGTAGGGATCTTGGACTTATTATTGGAAGAGGAGGATTACATGGAAATGTAAGTCTTATATTTAATAAACTAAACAATAAAACCAGTAATTATCAATTGATACCCAATTTCCAAAGAAAGGAGAAATAATATAATCGTGAAGAATGGAAAACTGTACTATGTAAAACATATCCAACGAGTTAGTGAAGTTTTTGACAGATGGAGTCCAAAAAATGACAGACAATACAGTTTTTTGTCAAATGTGACAAAAGTTAATAAGATTAAGATTATTGAGACGCGATTGACAATATAAAAAGATAATTTTAATGCCTAAGCATAAAAGTAGAGAAATATATTATTAAATTGACATTAATTGTTAAGTTCAACGAGTGAACCCATTATTGCTTGATATATAATTACTTACAAGGTATTACCGTTGACTAAAAGAATTGGGAAGATACGCAAAGTAATGGGCGAATTCGTGACAAGGCTGATTTGATTTCCCCTTACGTCTCAAGTGCTGTACGGTGGAGCCTCTACTCGTTCTGCGGCCAACGCACAATTTTCTCTAACTCGGCTAGCGAAGGCAAATCGAAGACTCTGTGGAACTGAAAGCGACAGTGTTGTTATAATGCCATATTAAAATATGTAATATCTGTAATACGTTTGACGAAAATATATTTGGATGAAAGATCCGCGTTTTTGTATTGAAAGTTTATTTGTGTTAAACACAGAATAAACAACAAAAATAAAAATTCATCTATTGGTACTGAATATTTCGTATGATCGAAAAACGTCGTCTAGTTGGCTGGGAAATGACGACTATTGACATTTACCATCATATTTTACATATGAAATAACAGCGATCTTCATTTCCAAGCCAACTCTGACGCCGTTACTGTCAGTGGCGTAACTATAAATTTTGGGCTCTCCCGCAACTTTCGGTCATTGGGCTCCTGGTCCCTTATCTCAATTTTTAACTGGTTGGCCGGGTCTCAAGATAGGGCTCCCTATATTAGAGAGCCAACCGCGGGGGTAAGCGGGGGTGTAGCTACTCCACTGGTTACTGTAATGTACCCAAAGTCCGCAAATCTACCGATTAATCCGTAGTTCTGGAAACACTGTCTCCGGCAACCACCCACTCTGTCGACTTAAAGCAGAACTACGGCACAGTGTTCTTTATCCGCTGCGCTGTAAACGATTATCAGCGCGCAATGGCGCAGAGCTAAACTAAATCTCGGACATATATAACGGTAACGCCAGCTACATCTCGGACATATTTTGTGCCACGAAATCGCCCACAAGGTTGCGCATCTTCTTATTTCTTCAATCAACAGTATTACTTTTTATATTATTTGCGACGTTTGAAATTGTTTAAAAAATTATTTGTGACGTTTGAAAAAAATATCATGTTCTATTCAGAGTAAAAATTTGCTTTTTGTACCATGCCTAGCCGTCAAGCGTACAAACTCGTCACAGAAAGTTTTTTTTAAACAGAAAATTTCACAGAAAATTTTACTCCTAATAAAACAATGCTATTACCTGTGAGTTAAAATGACAGACAAAACTTTGTCGCTGTCATATCTCCTCTCGTTGAACCGATTATAGGTATAGTAAACGCCACGAATGTTTGGGATTGATTCATCGCTTGATGAAGTTAGAATCGACACGCGCGCTATTATTTTTACATTAAAAACGTAAATTTTTACCGCAGACGTAGGTTTTTAAAGGCCCGGTCTAATCATCTACCTGCGCTCCTCCTCCTTATTCTAAAATGTTAGCGTGAATGACAAAGACGATACTATATCGTGTTTCTTTGATTGATTCGTTTTTGTGCGTCGGTCCATTGGTGTGCTTGCAGTGCGACCAATGGGGCATTCCAGTTTATATTTATAACCAAATATATGTTTTGACAAGACTTTGACAGCTAAAACAACAAATTACAACAGATTATATATTGATTATTATATGACTTGAAACACCACGGCACTGGAATTAAGTTTTATGTGACCTTGAACAGATTAGTTCACATGGTAGCGACCGATGAATCACTCCCAAACATTCGTGGCGTTTACTTTACATGCTTTATTACATAAAAAGTATGAAATAGTAGCTAAAAACAGTTTTTCGATGTTCTAATATTAGGATATGTCGCCATATAGCGAGAAGCACGTGTTTTTAGTTAATTTTATTAATGTATTGTATATTTTTTTTATTTGTTATTATTAAGTCTAAATACCTATATTTTATATTAATTTAAATAATTATATTTTAGGTATTTCGAATTAAGCCTCCGATGTGTATTTCCAAATTAGACGCAGATTTTACAGTGGATGTGTTACGGTACGCCTTAAACAGATTGTAAAAAATGAAAACATTGTCCTATACAAATAAAGCTCCTTTTGTATAAAATTATTTGTTATTTATTTAACTTCTTACTTATTGCAGCGCCATATTCTATACAGAGCGTACATCGCATGTACTTGTGATGTGTGTCATCAGTGTTTCACAAGTACACGGGACCTACAGTTTATCGCCGAATCTGAACGGCACTATTTGAGAGGCTGTACAAGGCAAATATACTCAAGGTGGTTTGCCATTGCCTTCCTTGAGGTGACGGCTCGCTGGTCGCTCTGTTTAGATAAATCAATATTTTTATTTAAATAAATAAAGCGACCGTAATGGCTGAGGATCGAACCTAGTACCATCAGTGGCGGCTCGTCAGGGTAGGCAAGGTAGGCGGCGCCTACCCTAAAATTTTGGCAGAATTTAAGCGGTTTATTACATTACATTATTTACTATTAATGTTGCCAATACATAAAAATACTGTTAATACACGGAAGTGTGTTGTAATAATCAATATTATTTTAATATTTGTGGTCTTGTATATTAAAATATTCACTACCGCTTGTGTACGCTGACTGTGCCGCTGCGTTAGAAAACAAAATAATTTTGACAGTTGGAGTAATGCAAACGCCCCAAACGCCTTTGTTCGGCGATTTCTACATCGCCTAGTATCAGAGTCGATGTTCGACGTACGGCAGTCTTCTGTCTCTATCTGACTCATCGTGCGGTAGCGACGCGACGTAAGTCGGAGTTGTATCGTATTGTTGCGGACCGGTGTGGACTCGACCTAACCGCACAATATGGCTCGCCCTCGGATGACCTTAACATTGCATAGACACCGCAATGATTCATTCGTTCGAGAAGAATCGAGTCCCATTGGAATGGACTAGTACATACGAGAACATTCGAAAAACCTTCTCTACGCACCTAACGATCTATGGACTATTCTAGAGTTCTTTACCTGTCGGTATAAAAGCCGGCGGCTGTGGCCTACAGGGGGCAGTTATAAATAAACAGCACAGATGACGCGCTAAAGTTCAAAATAAATTCTTAGTTATAAATCGTTTGTAAATAGTTCTATAAGTCTTTTATCGTTATTGTTTTTGTTAATTAGTGTTAAATAAATAGTGTTTAAATAAATTGTGACTTTCTATCCACACGGAACCGACGAAAAACGTAACAATATAAAACCCGTTAAGTTAAGATGTTTAGGACATACATTCTTACGAAGTTTATTTCTTAGAATCGGTCCAAGAATCACCGCCCTAAATATTAACATGTCAATAAGAATACCGTTTGCTTTGCCGTTCATGTTTGCTATTATCAACTATCAAAAACAACCTTTTGTCCGTACGCTCAACTTTTGTTTTTCCATAGTTATTTCGGTATTATACCAGACGGTAGCAGATAAATGTTATATTTTTTGTTTATAGGATATCGTAGGGCAGAGGCGCATATATGGGAGGGGTAACGGGGGTAATTACCCCTCCCAGGAAGAAATTTATTTATAAATAAGAAAATCTGGTATGAAGTAAAATTGTCACAAAATAAATTAATAATGTCAATCAAAATAGAAATCCAGAACAATCTAAGCTTATTTTTTTCCACATATATAAATACCTTTGAGCGAAAATGTAATTTAAATCTATTACCTACTTTATTTAAATATTGTCACTACCCCTCCCAGACTCAGCCCACGGCCACACAGAAAGCGTTTTTAGCGTTTTGCGTCTCAAGCGGTTTTTGCAATTTGACCGTTTTAAGCGTTTTTTCTATTTGTGTCCATTAAAAACACGCAAAAGACGCGGCAGGTTTGCAGTTTCTATCAAGATATCAATTAGTAACGTCGCAAGCTCGTGGATTCCCGGCCCGTTCAACAATCAATCCTGTGAGAAAGAGGTAGGCGAGTTCGGCACGGTTAGCGTTGAAGAGACGAAGATAAAAGATGCTGGGATTGAATTGTGGACGGGGCCGGGGCATATATTCGGCTACAAGCACAATCTACTGCTAGTGCCAGTGGTGTGTGTAAAAATAATAATTATTATTTGCCATTTATTTTACGAATTTTAGTTTATATGTGTATAGTTTTTTTTATGTTGTAGTGTTGTGATTACTTGTTATAATAATTATAATATAATATAATCAATAATAGAATAGTAAATATTACTAGTTCCTAACGCAATTTTAGGACATTATTTATGAAACTTCTTTACGTGCGTTTGGAGTAAAAATTCAAGGCTACGAGTTAGCGAGACGGCCCTGACACACAAGCTAGTTGTAACGAAACGTGTTAATGGCTTAGAAATACGTAGTGACGCGACGTGTATTTGTGAGCAGTCCACGTCTTTATCAAAAATATTGATATTTTAATACAAATTTCGTAAAAGTTAATCAAATTATTACGTGGAAAAAACCATTAGTTACACGTAAAAAAACTATTTTTACGCGTATGAAACTATTTGTTACTGGTAGAAAACTATTTTTTTACGCGTATATAACTATTTGTTACTTTTAGAAAACTATTTTTTACGCGTATAAAACTATTTGTTACGTATAAAAATCTATTTGTTACACGAAAAAAACTATTTTTTAAGTGTAAAAAACTATTTGTTACACGTAAAAAACTATTTTTAAGTGTAAAAAACTATTTGTTACACGTAAATAATTATTGTTACACGTAAAAAACTATTTCTTGCGCGTAAAAAAACTATTTTTTACGCATATAAAACTATTTGTTATTGGTAGAAAACCATTTTTGCGCAAAAACTATTTTTTACCTGTAAAACACTATTTGTTACACGTAAAAAACTATATTTTACGCATCAAAAACTTATTGTTTCTGATAAAAAACTTTTTTGCGTTAAAAAACTATTTTTTACGAGTAAAAAACTATTTGTTACACGTAAAAAAACTATTTTTTACTCGTACAACACTACTCTCAACAGGTAAAAAATATTTTTACGCAAAAAAAATATTTCTTAAGCATAAAAATCTATTTTTCAAGCATAAAAATCTATTTTTTAATCATAAAAATCTATTTTTTAAGCATAAAAATATAATTTTTGCACCTAGAAAACTATTTTTTACACGTATAAAACTATTTGTTACCCGTAAAAAACTATTTGTTATGCGTAAAGATCTTTTGGTTATGCGTAAAAAACCATTTTACGCATAAAAAACAATTTTTACGCTTAAAAAATATTCCCTTAAATTATTACTTTTTCAACATTTTAAGCTACACTTTTTCAAACATTTCCTTCAAATTTTTGAATTTAATAGAATCTTCCTAAAACAGTATATGTCTATAAAAATATTTTTAGATAATACTCTAAAATGAAAAAAAAAAATGCATAATATTTAATTTATTGTTATTGTATTATTAAATATTACGTCCGCCTATGACGGGGTCTCATAGTAAACGCTAAAGACGCTACAGAAAACAAATTGATTTGTTTTCATTTGCGTTTTTTTGCGAGACACGCCGAACGCTAGACGCTTTTGGTGGGGCCACTCCTATATAATCCTGTTATTTTGTTTTAGACGCAAAAGACGCTTCACGCTAAAAACGCAAAAAACGCTTTCTGTGTGGCCGTGCACTCAGTCTCTGGATGCGCCACTGTCGTAGAGTGGTAGAGAGAATCCTGTCGAATCTCAATTTATACAGTTAAAAACTTTGATGTTTGTGTATTTTCATTTAGTTTGTTGATGTTATTAGCATAATTGTAATAAACAAAAAATAACTTGTAAATATAAAGATTAAAAATTTGGCTAAGATTCGGCAATTATATAATAACAAATTTACTGGTTTAAAAAGGTTATTTTTAAAAATTTGGCTAAGATTCGGCAATTATATAATAACAAATTTACTGGTTTAAAAAGGTTATTTTATTTTCTTATATTTATTATTTATTGACGATACATTAAAAAATGATCTAATTTGGTGATAAGCAGTGGCGCAACTAGAGGGTGTTAAGTGCCCCTTAGCCCCCCTAGATGGCTCCTGCGTGTTGTATAAAATTGGTTTTAACCTCAAATCAATATTATCTTAGAGTGACTTAAGCCCCCCCCAAAAAAAATACTTGAGCCCCCCTAAAAGTATATGTGTCTCCTAAAAGTTGCGCCCCTGGTGATATGTTATCTACAATAACAAATATTGAAGATTACAAGTTCAGGGCAGAGCTGTTAACATTCTCCATAAAGCAAACGATTTTTATTCATTTCGTGAATATCTTGGCTCGATTTTTTCGTATTTCTAAGAACCTTTTTAAAAATTTTCTATGAGCAAATACCGAGAGTACCGCTCAACGCTCAAAGCCCGCGGCCCGAGCCGTGCGAATATGTGCGAATATGTACGTGCTCTAATCATACAGGGTCGCTTTTATGTATGGAAACGGTCGATTATTAGGTAAAATATACCGTATGTTCGAATAAAAACGGCGTCAGCGATGGCTATGAAATGAAGATCGCTGTCATTTTATATGTAAAATTATATGAAGAATGTATGTGTTGATCATACGGTACCAGGTACAGCAAAAACTTAAATACAAAAATTATAGGTTTTTTGAATGTCTATTGGCGAGTAATAAATTTACGTGTACAGGGTCAGTCATAAAGTCGTGACACATAAAGTTTAATTTTTTTAAATAGAACCCCCTGTAGATTATTGCATATTTCAGTTCTTCCTTCAATTCTAAGCAAAAATCGAAATACACACAATGTACCTCAAACCAACCGTTTCCGAATTATTGACTTTTGAATATATCACTAAAACAATTTGATTTAATTTCGATATGTTCAGTTTCATTTAATGATGCCATTCTGCCGAAACTGTGATACTGTTGTAATGGGTTTTTAAATGCCTATTAGCTAATAGTAAATTTAAGTATACAGGGTCGCTTATAAAGTTGTGGCACATCAAACTTTATTTTTTTTTTTAAACGAAACCCCCTGTATATTATTGCATATTTCAATTCTTTTTTCAATTTTAAGCAAAAATCGTAATACACAATGTCAAGAATTGAAATGTTAAACGGAAATTTTATAATTTCCAGACTTGATATAATCTCATTTTACACATCTATAAATGATAACTTGAGAATTAATATCAAATATTAGCATCACAGTTTCGGCAGAATGGCATCGTTAAATGAAACTGAACTGAATGAATGTTAATGAGCTGAATCGAAATTAATTAAAAAAATTGGCGCCGGGAGGCACGTCGTATAGCCGCCCATACTTAATATTTTTTTATCTCAAAAACTAAGACTTTGACTGATTTTGATGTTATTACAAATTTTGTTGCAAATATTATTCCTAATCTTAAATTGAAAATCGGCTTTCGCTAACTACTGTAATTTTGGAGTTACAATTTTTTTTAACCCCCTCCCATACCCCCATAAGGAGGTGTATTTAAGTGATATTTTCAAAAGTCAATAACCGGAAACGGTTGGTTTGAGGTCTTCTTCTCCTTACAGTGTCATACTCTATAAAGAGCGTCGGCTACCTCTCGCATGTACCTGTGATGTGTGTCAGCAGTGTTTCACAAGTACAGGGGTCCTACAGTTTATCGCCGAATCCGAACGGCACTATTTGAGAGGCTGTACAAGGCAAATATACGCAAGGTGGTTTGCCATTGCCTTCCTTGAGGTGGCGGCTCGCGGGTTGCTCTATTTAGATAAATCAATATTTTTTATTTAAATAAATAGAGCGACCGTACTGGCTGAGGATCGAATCCAGTACCATCCCTTCTCTCGCACCGCAGATCGACACACTACCGCTTGCGCTGACGGCCACTGGTTTGAGGTAGATTGTGTTTATTTCGACTTTTGCTTAGAATCGAAGGAAGAACCGAAATATATTAAAAAAATGAAACTTTGATGTGCCACGACTTTATGACCGACCCTGTATAGTTAAATTTATTAGTCGCTAATAGACTTATTCAAAGCTAATAGATATTTAAAAATCCTAAAATAAAAAAAAAATAATAATATATAATTTTTATGTTGTTTCTATTTAAAACTTTTTGCGGTACCTCCTATATTTTACCTAATAATCGGTCGTTTCCGTACATAACAGCGACCCTGTATAAAAAAAAACATGGCTCTAATCTGTACCTCAAAGCATACCGCGCACTTTTTCAAAGCACGATTTCAATGCGCGATTTTTTGCCGCGCTTTGCCAAGCGGCTCTTCGCATAAGTGCGTGGCAAGTTTTACTTTACAACATCCATTAACCTTCTTTCCTTGATTTTGCATACAGAATTCCATATAAATAATTTATATGCATAATTCACATCTTAGGTTATTTCATATTCATCAAGATATAATATGTATTATATCTTGGATATTTTGGACTTAATTGAAAAACGGCAAAGAGAAAATATATGTTTCTTTTATCGAGATCTACTAGCCCTGAAAATATTTGCACTTATTTAAGACTCACCCTGTATACACAAGGTGTCCCAGAAATAAGTGCAAGTATTTTAACTGGTAGTATAGTTCAACCCCAAAAACACGCCTATGAGGTTTTTTTCGCGAAAATTTTTTCTTGAAAATTCGGATTTTTTTGAAAAAAAATTTGGATTTTTTTTTAGTTTTTAGTTAAAAAACATAATTTCTTAATAATATGGCAACATAGGTAGTAGGTTAAATTTACAAGAAAGAAAATCCAGAAAAAATCCAGTGGTTCTAAAATTTGAGCAAAAAATCATTTTTTTTTTGGAGGTTTTCAAAGTAAAATAACTCTGTTATTTTGGACTTATTTGAAAAACGATAAAGAGAAAATATGTTTCCTTTATCGAGATCTACCACCTACCACCCCTTAAAATACTTGCACTTATTTCTGGGACACCCTGTATATGTCTGAAAATATAAAATTAATTGCATTACTATAATCAAAGCTATAATATAAGAAAATTGAGTTGAATCAATCCATATATCGTAACTCTATGCTGTTGAAGTATTAAATATTAAAATAATAAAAAATTACATTAAACAATAAATATTGAAAACGCTAAAAAAACACTTTTGTTTTCAACTGAGAAATAATTCGAAAATATCCTGTAATTGTGCAATATATGGCAACATTGTATATGCGCATGCGTAGTATCTGTGAGCAAATGCAGTAAATATTCGTCTCAAAGTCACCCACTTAAAATACCTTACAAAGTCTGTTTTATTAAGTTTTTTCAGTTTATTACGTTTTCAAATTACGTTTATTTCGTTTACGTAGTAAGTACTTAGATCTTATAAACTCAGTAACAGCATAAAAACTATATTATTTACACGTCAAAAACTGTAAAAACATTTTTTTAAACGCTCATCCCATTTGCTCATCCCTGATATATCCCTGATTAAGAGCAGAATTCTTTTATATATGATTGTGAGAGATTTGATAAAAATAATTTATATATGATAGATTTACATCCCAGCTAATGACCTCATAAATTTTTTTCATATTTCAACCAAGGTATAACGAAATTGCTTATGTGACGTGGAGGCAACCGAACTATCACATAAACATGCGCAGTGCATGTTACGTGGCATGAAGTGTTGTGAATTATTTTAATGTGACTTGTTTTGCGGATTTTAAAAATATTTTTTTATAATATTACTACCTATATTGTAAGTTTTCTTTGTAATTTATGGTATATAATATTAACGGTAAAATTTAAACAAATTCTTACTGTTATTTAAGTATTATTGTAACGTAATAGGTGGGTACAAGTCATCCATTTGTTCCCTTCACAATTTGTTGCAAAATTTTAAGTTTACCCTACCGTATTGAATAAGAAAATAGTATTAAATATTAAGTTGTATTAAAATATATATTATATCGTATCGATTTTTAATACGTAATAACAGTAGAGTTTATATTTAAGTATGTTTTTCCAATATGTTACAACTATTAAACATTTTTAACTATATTATTATTACTTTAAAAACCAGGATATTTTTTTATAGAAAGCATGAATCCACAATATTTACCCCCACCTGGGATGGAAGTCCCTAAATTTGGGGGAAATCAAAACTTCGAAAATATTTCATTAACTTCTTCACCTACTAGTAATGCAGGATATCACCAAAATGGTCATTCATTAGGACCTTCCGTACCTGGATCTGTTAAAACTATGGGTAAGTAGTTATTTTTAAGTTAGGTATTTCAGTTTTCATTCTTTTGTTCCATAAATATATTTCTATTTAGATTAGAGATAATTTTTTGCAATGTAATTAATCTAGGTAGGTACCTATATTTTTATTTGTGGAATTATTTTATAAGTGGATAAGTCTTGGTATACTATTAATGAACTGATTATACTATTATACTAAATCCTTAAATATTAAATTGTGACAGTTACTATTACTATTCATTTATAAATTATAATACAATAATTCTCTTATTACAAATTAATATAATACTACATTTTGATTTTTTTTTTAGGTGGTTCTTCTGCACCTCCCTCACACAAAATGTCTTCTGGATATCAATCATTAGGAAATCCACCTCTACCAGAACAAAAAATTAACTCACAGATTATGCCAGGAGAAGGTCCACCATCTCACTTAAATAATGTTTATGCTGCAACTTCGTTAGATAACCCAGAGAGATTTTCACAGACTCAAACTTCCAGTCATGGTCAAGAATATATTCCCAGTCAAAATCCACCAACTCATCAACCTTCTCTTAATGGTCCACCCATTCAAAATAATAATTTTATAAGCCCACCATTATTGCCAAACAGCTCGATAAATCCAGGAGTACAATTTGCTGGTCCAAAATCCACGCCAGTTCTATCAAATCAATTTGAAAACAGTGGGCCACAAAAACATCAAAATCCACATATATCAGGTCCAGTACCTCCTTTAAATGCTAAACAAGTGCCACCTATAGGTCATCCGAATCCTTTACCAGGACAAATTAATTCATTTCAAGGTCCACCTTCGCAACTTCCAAATAGAGTACCTCCAATGTCACCTCCTCAAATGCAACCACTACATGCGTTAGGACCTCAAAAATTTACTCAGCATGCTGGTCCTATACATCCACCAGGCCAATTACCTCCACAGCCTGATCTGTCCAATCAGATGCAAGGTATTTTATATAATTTTTAAAATGTTTGTAACTAATTATTTTTGTTTATGTTAAGGCATGAATTTAAATGGGCCAAAACCACATCCATACATGCCACAAACAATAAACCAGCCTAATTACACAAATCAAGGTGCCAGAAATCAATCTGGTTATCCTCCCATGCCTCAACAACCAGGTGGATATCCTCCACAACCAGCTGGATACCCTCAACAACCAGCTGGATACTCCCAACATCCAGGTGGATATCCTCAACAACCTGCACAGCAGCAGAAAAGACTTGATCCTGATCAAATGCCAAGTCCGGTAATTAAATATTAGTTTGTTGTATCATAAATTACTGATGTAATATTTATATGTTTAAATAAAATATATAATAATGTTATTTGTTCTTCAGATTCAAGTAACTCAGGATGATCAGCGGACTAGATCAGGCCCATTTATAACAAATCAGAAAGGTTTAGTTCCTCCATTAGTTACAACAAAATTTGTAGTTCAAGATCAGGGTAATTCCAGTCCAAGGTTTATCAGATCAACAATGTATAATGTACCTATTACTCAGGTATTCTTAATGTTTTATAAATTTTTCTTAGTATGATAACAAACTATTTTTAAGGACATAATGAAACAAACTGGTGTACCATTTAGTTTAGTTATTAGTCCAATGGCAAGATTAGAAGAAGGAGAATACCCCCCACCAATTGTTAACTTTGGTGATGTTGGACCTGTAAGGTGCATTAGATGTAAAGCATATATGTGCCCTTTTATGCAATTTATAGATTCGGGAAGAAGATTTCAATGCTTGTTTTGCAAAGCTACTACCGATGGTAAGTAAACAAATGCACATTTGTAGAGTATGTTCAAGATAACAGGACATATCTGGAAAAAATGTTCCGTCTTTCGAAAATTTTTATTCTTAATAAAAGTCATTGCGCCTCAGGAAACTGCTTCGATGTTTATAGGAAGTAATAAGCCATTGACAAATTAGTTCTTTGTCAATGGAGGGTTCAGTTTCCAATTATTAGACTTTTTGAAAAGCTTAATACTGAAAAATGTAAAAGGTCTTATTTTAGTTAAATAGTCCAATAGTCACACCTGAAAAAATCTAACCTAAAGTATGTTCACTACATGAAGGTACAGTTTTGGCAGATGACATCAAAAAACTGCCAAAAAATAATAAAGTAGATTTCAATCAAAAAAACGGATCCGGTGAACTATCCTGACACGATTTTTGCATTTTTCTTTTTTTTATCAACAAGTAACCATTTTTAGTAGTAGTTTTAAAGAAAAATAAATGGAGATTATGCACAGAATTTTAAAATATTTTAATTTAATTTTATAGATAAATGAAACAAGTTTAGATTGGAAAGTGCCCATAAGGACAATGTAAACACTATTTTTGGCGCTATTCTTGCAACGGTCGCGACCCAAAACTTTTGAAAATTTCGGAGCGGTTCGGCTTTTTCCGGAATTATGTCGCCAAATATTGTTTATTTAAATTTATTATTATTTTCGTTTGTTTATTTATAAATAAAATACAGTGTGTTGCATACAAGAAACTTTATTTTATATAAGGACGCATGTATGAAATACCTATGAAACATTGGAAACCGACGTTATGCCACGATCCACGATGGTTTTTGCAGTTCACAGTTCACAGCACAGCTTTTTAAGTTTTTAATGCCATTTTTTTCACAATTATCACCGGTTGAAGTAAATAAAACTTGAATTAAACTCACAAGATAGCAATAATTACTTTGAAAATGAACGCTATATAAACACATTTCGGAATTTCTTTAATGAGAGCGGTTTAGATTTTGAAAGATTATTATGATTTTTGAAGATTCTGACTTTGACAAGAGAAAATTATTTCTGTTTTTGTTTGCTGTTGTTCTTAGCGACCGCTATAGCAGCGCCAGATCGCGTATAACGGTCGCGACCCAAAATTTTGACGGGCTTTCCCATCTAAACTTGTTGCATTTATCTATGTTTAATTTTAATAGTTTTTGACACATATTTGACGTTATGAAGAATTTTAACACATGATTTAACATGACAGCGACAGAAGGAAAAGCAATGTTGCCAGATCCACTGAATTTTCTTTTTCTGTTTTTTTATTTTTATTTTGAAAAAATAACCATTTTTAATAATAAAAAGGCGTTGGTAATGTGTGAATGGGAAATCTAAAAAAAACAACAAAAGCAATCAAAACACGCTTACGCAAAACACGCTTTGCTTGTTTAAACCAAAATATCAATCAAACAGATAAAAAGGAAAAAAAACAGCCAAACCAACCCAAACCAACCTGACCAAACCCTAACCAACCCATACAAAACCAACCAATACAAAACCAAACCAACCAATACCAAACCAACTCAACTCGAGCCAAACACAAACCAAAGAAATGAAAACACGCTTACAGCATGTTTTCTGTTCAGTTCACCGACGCCCAAAAAAACATTAATAGAATTATTGTCACATACTTAGATGACTGTAATTCTCTTGTTAGACTTTTAGTCCAATTCTCAGTTTGTTCTCTGGTATACAAAAGTGCTTCCGAAATATGAAATTTGCTGTGAAAGAGTAAAACGGTACAAGTACTCAAGATGCAAGTTCAAATAACGCTCATTAGAATTTCAAGAGTCTCTGTTTGATTCATTAAAATTGCATATCATATTATTTTTTCAATTTTTTTGTAATTTTAGAGTACTCCAAACTGCATCAAGTATTAAAAATGTCATTTTGTATATGTTTAATACTTTCTGGAGACTAATGGTCACGTCAAAATTGTGACCGCCCTGTGTATCAATAAAATGCAATAATTATATACATATAGGTTAAATAATGTAATATATACCTTTGTGGCCAGTTTATTTCTAGTAAAGGCTTCTGGTATTTTTGCCACTAGGAGAGAATCTGCAAAATAAAGATATTTTTTGTAAACACCGCTGCGTGAATCCAAACGGAAACCAATTTGTCATGAGCACAAGAACAGAAAAATAAATAAATAATAATCTTTATTTCAAAATAATATCTACTACATGTATTTGCATATAACTTACAAAAACATACAGATACGAAATGAGATACCGTCATTACAGTACAAAAACAAATGTTGCACAAAAAATCAAATTAAAATCATATATTAGTCCCTAATGAAATCTATTGTAGAGTATGGTTTTAAATCTATTAAAAATGTTCTCAGTTTATTCTTAAAAATGTTCTTATTGTTTTCACATTTAATATAATTGGGTAAACTGTTGAAAATTTTTAGGCAGCTGTACCTTGCATTTTTTTCGTTAAAGCCAACCGATGAGGTGGATAGCATACATTCATTGTTCTTGTATTATATTCATGTGTTGTTCACGTTGTGAATATCAAATAAATGTTTGTTGTTAAAGAAGAACATAAGACATTGAAATATATACGTTCCACTCATCATCAGCATATTATTTTTCTTAAAAACACCTCTGCATCTATCCTTACAACACATTTTTTTTTATTATTCTTAATACCCTTTTTTGGACAATAAAATTTTTTTCGATCATACTGTTACTTCCCCAAAAAATCAGTCCATATTTGACCACAGACTCAAAATTTGCATAATATATTGTTCTTAAACTCCTTTCATTCATGTATTTTGCAATAACCCAGATTCCAAAGCGGACGGAGTTCAATTTGACCGCGAATTCTGAAAAATTTGCCAGTGTGCCGCAGGAAAAGCGTACATTTCTTTACGTTTCCATCTTTCAAATGGTTATTAGCCAACTACTTTTCTCTTTGTCATTCGCTTAAAAATACTGTTACGTTTTTACTCGGTTCCGTGTGGACAATTTTAAAGTCTAATTTATTTTCACTAATTAACAAAACAAGAAAAACTTAAAAACTATCAAACTTATTTACAACTATTTATATAAGGAATTTATTTTGAATTTATTAAGCCCAGGAAGATACACGTCGACCGTAACTTATCGTCTGTCCTATACAGGGTGATCCGAACTGTATTCTGGACTGTATTCCGAACTTCGGCAGCATATCCTGCAGGTAAAAATAAGTAAAAAAGTTTGTATAAATATGTGTCCTAAAATGCTTAGTTTCGGAGATACAGTGTATAAAAATTTCATTTTTATTTCGATTTTTCTCAAATAATTTCTAAAGTAATCTCAATATTTGGATGAAAGTTGTTGTCTGGGAGTTTTTTGACATACCTACATATTTTTAACTGGTTTGAAGAGTAATAACTTTTCTTCCGTACCTGTATAAAACTACTGAGTAAAAAATATACATTTACGACGTTTTTTACGTAAAAAAGGTCTCTTGGTAAAAATCGCTACGAGTAATGGTTCTCGAGATATTTTGAACCGAAATTATCAATACCTGTCATCATTGACATAAATTAAACATGTTGACTAAATAGTTATTAAATGATAAATTTGAAATGTTTTAGTGCTAAAAGTTCAACAGAAACTGTTTTATCATCATTTTTTCGAAGAAAAATTTATGATTAATTTAAAAAATAAAAAATTCTTGAATTATCATTTCAGTCAAATAACTGTTTAGTCAACATATTTATTTTTTGTCAATAATGACATGTATTGACTATTTCTATTCTAAATATCTTGGGAACGGTTGCTCGCAGCGATTTTTACTAAGACATTTTTTTCGTAAAAATTCACGGAAATGTTTTTTTTACTCGCTCTTTTTTTTTCAAAACAGTCAAAACCATGTTAAAACTCATGTAGGTTACGCCCCCTACAAATAGGATTTATATTGTCATCAGAATCAAATTTCTCATTTCAAAAAACTCTCAGACACCAATTTTCATCTAAATATTGACGTTACTTCAGAAATCGTCTTGGAAAAAATCGAAATAAAAATGAAATTTCTACACTAACGAAACTAAGCATTTTAGAACATACATTTATACGAACTTCTTTACTTAATTTTTTCTGCAGAATATGCCGCCGAAGTTTCCGGAATACAGTTCGGACCACCCTGTATACTGGGCCTCGGTAATTATACGCCCAGTTATACAGACGGTTTCGAACACTCTGTTAGATTATTAGGTGCATAGAGAAAGTTTGGAATGTTCTCGTGTTTTCTGTTCGTTCCATCGTCTGACACAATTCGGTGTCCCTGTATTAGTTCAGTCATTGGGGATCAAAAAAGGGGCCAGCTTGGAAAAATGTCCGGAAGTTTTGAAACTTTGCAGGTTTATAGGTTTCGGGGTCCCTAACTAAAATCCATAAAATACACATCTCCAGACTTGCCGCCGGCGCCGCCATCTTGCCAAGATGGCGCCCAAAATCGGTATTTTGTAAATATCTCGAAAACTATGCGTTTTTCGTAAAAACTTGAAGAGAGAAAAATTAAAGAATAAGATTTCTTATAAAAAAGGTTCTATGGAAATGTTCGCGAAAGTCAACCGTTTAGGCACAAAATCCCTGGAAATGTTACAATTTTGCTTAAAGTATGATATATTATGTATAGTGTCGATTTTCCGAAATCAAATGTGGATTAGGGTTCACTAAAACTAGTTTTAGTTTAGTTTCTTCAATTCAGTCATAAAACAGTGGCATATCATTAATTCGTTTAATATAATAATAATTAATTTATGAATAATTAATTGTCGTGCTGGACAGCATTCATTGCGAACTTACCACCAGGTTCAGCATTGGTCTGGTTGTACCAAATATGCCGAAGAATGGGGTTGGAAGAAAACAAAAACAGGCATTACACAACGTTGACAGATCCAGCTGCAAAATCCCTATTGGCATTTTTATCCTGTAAATGCAAAACCAACAACTGTGGTAAAGCGTGCGGATGCAGAAAATCAGGATTAAAATGATCAATGATTTGTGCATACTGCAATGGGAAATCCTGTGACAACGTCACTGAAGTGTCACTTGACGAATTCGATGAAGAGGAGTTGGACTTGCCTGTAGATATCCCTCTGGCGGCTGAAGATGAAGAGTTGGACGAATTGAGAGACCACCCTGATGAGCCCAGCACAGCAGACACGATCGACTTTACATCAAAGAGCCAGATCCGTCGGGCTTGTGCAGATAAGTTAAAGTTTTTAATTTACCTAGTAGAATAGGCCTCCGGGGAGACCACGTTAAAATAAACGCCCCATGACTTTACCTCTTGGGTGGTGTGGAAACAAGTACACATTTTCAATAATTCAAATTGATTATTCATAAATTAATGAGCGAATTAATGATACGCCACTGTTTCATGACAAAATTAAAGAAACTAAACTAAAACTAGTATTAGTGAACCCTAATCGACATTTGATTTCGGAAAATCGACTATACATAATATATCATATTTTACGCAAAATTGTAAAATTTCCAGGGATTTTGTGCCTAAACGGTTGACTTTAGCGAAAATTTTCATAGAACCTTTTTTATAGGAAATTTTATTCTCTTTAATTTTGCTCTCCTCAAATTTTTGCGAAAAACGCATAGTTTTCGAGATATTTACAAAATACCGATTTTGGGCGCCATCTTGGCAAGATGGCGGCGCCGGCGGCAAGTCTGGAAATGTGCATTTTATGGATTTTAGTTAGGGACCCCAAAATCTATAAACCTGCAGAGTTGCAAAACTTGCGGACTTTTTTCCAAGCAAAAATCCCCAATGACTGAACTATATCGATAGGATTCCAGAAGGTCATATTAGGGCGGGGCATATTAGAGCAGGGCTGGTTTCGCAACAATACAGACGACGAATTTATAATCACATAATAGTTTAATGCCAACAATAATAGTTTGTGTTTAAAGATTTAAAGTATTATTTACATATTTTTAGTACCCGCCGAATATTTTCAACATTTGGATCATACTGGTAACAGAATGGATAAATATGAACGGCCAGAATTAGTACTTGGAACATATGAATTTGTTGCCACAAAAGATTATTGTCGAAATAATGTGTTGCCACAACCTCCAGCTATCATTTTTATAATTGACGTTTCTTACAACAATATTAAATCTGGCATGGTGCAGTTGGTTTGCTCACAAATGAAAGAAATTATTAAAAACTTGCCAGTAGACCAAGGGCAAGAAAAAAGCAATATGAGGGTTGGATACATTACATATAACAGTTCTGTTCATTTTTATAACATTAAAGTAAGTAGAAGATAGACTTAAGTGAATTTGTTTATATTATTTTGGTGAGACTATATTTTTTATATAATTTTTGGAGTAATATTTGTTGTTTAATAAACAATTAATTTTAGGGCTCATTAGCTGCTCCTCAAATGATGGTAGTAGGTGATACACAAGAAATGTTTATGCCACTTTTGGATGGATTTTTATCCACAGTTGAAGAATCTGAAGCAGTCATTGATGCACTTATGGAACAAATTCCTGTAATGTTTGCTGATACTAAAGAAACAGAAATTGTTCTTTTACCTGCCATTTTAGCTGGATTAGAAGCTTTGAAGGTACGTTTTTTATAGTATATATTAATATAATGTCTACACCTCTGTGGTGTATTCATCTGTTCAAAAAAGTCCTATGGGTATTTCGCCACTGTAAGAAAATCAACAAAATAAAAAGTTATTTTCTGTGTTAATCCAACGGAGACTAATTGTCAGCAGTGGTTTAATAATAAACAAATTTGCCTAAAGGACAAAAAAATGCTTAATATTTCGGAAAGTATATCTTTTCCCATCGTCTGAAGCAAAAAAACACAAATAACAAAGAAAAAAACTATTTAAAATGTACATATATACTTGCTCATTATTTTAGGCCTCTAATTGTGTTGGTAAGTTAATGGTATTCCACTCCACGCTACCGACAGCGGAAGCTCCTGGAAAATTAAGGAATAGGGATGATAGAAAACTATTAGGGACTGACAAAGAAAGGACCGTTTTAAATCCTCAAACACAAGCCTACAATCAACTTGGGCAAGATTGTGTGGCAGCAGGATGTTCAGTGGACTTGTTTATATTCAATAATTCTTATATTGATATTTCTACAATAAGTCAAGTTTCTAGACTTACTGGAGGAGAAATATTCAAGTATACATATTTCCAGGTAACTTCTATTAGTTGTGATAGTTTTTTTTATAAATCATATAGGTAGTTTGGTTTGGCTAGTAAATAATACAGTAATATTTTGCTTATTGCATTAATAATTTATACTTTATATAGGCTGATGTTGACGGTGAACGTTTAGTTAAAGATATAATTATGGATATTAGTAGACCAATTGCATTTGATGGAGTTATGAGAGTAAGAACGTCCACTGGTGTTCGACCAACAGATTTTTATGGATATTTTTATATGTCTAATACTAGGGATATGGAGATAGCAGCAATAGGTAATCTTTAGTTCTTTTTAATGGAATTAATTAGTAATATAATAATTATAATTATTAACAAATAATATTGGCACATTAATTATAGAGATACCTTGTGTCTTGATATTTAAACACATGATAACACACTTAACTAATTTATTTACTAAGAACTATACAATGTATTACTTAATAACACTGCAAATATCTCACAATAGCGACAATTCATTTCTGATCACTTCCAATCGATTTCTTGTCAATCCGCCATTTACTTATCCAAATACTAACTCTTCTCACCTTCTTTTATACTCACAGATGTCACTTGTGTTCTGTACTGTACGGAAAAAGTCTATTGAGGAATTTACGACGTCACAGCGTCATTTCTCCAGCCTTTTCATAATCGCCAATCATCCTCTTATAAAAATATTCCGTGATTCGCTAGTCATTTCGTTGTGATAAGCTCCCTAGATATTATAGAGTACCACAATTGAATCTATTTTATTTGTATTTAGTGGCGGAAAATTTAAAAATGAAAAGACACCTTCGACAATGCTGTTGATTCATAAGTTGTATAAAAACCATTGAAAGGTTTATTAGCAATAGTTTATTGAGAAAATAGCCTCCTTATTATTTTATTTTTCTCTCACAATGTTATTGTCTCATCCTGTCGACATTTAAATTAAATAATTAAAATTTAAATAACCATATTTTTTAAATTAATGCCAATATATCATCGACATCCGCCATTTTGACTCCAAAGTACAGTGGCGGTTGTTCACCTAATACAGTGTTGCCAACTTTCTGAAATAGAATTTCCCATGAAGACGGTCAAAATTTCCTTTTTTTTTTCTTCTAAAATTTCCCACGAGTTCTCAAATGAAATGTAGTGTCATCAACACAATGCAGATATGTTTTTTAACTGAAAATTATAAAAAAAATAAACAAATTTTGAAATATACTTTTCAAGTTTTTTGTCACACAAAAAATCTCCGAGAAAGCCATACAGCAATGCATATACGCAAACTTGCCAGAAACTTTGTTGAAAAACACATATACTATAACTATTTTTTACGAATAATACATGAATTTAGAATTTCCCACAAATACGGTGTTTCGGGTTAAAATCTCTCTTTTCTCTCTGGTTCTCGAAATTTCCCACGAATTGGCATCACTGACCTAATATTTTTACAGCTCATGATATATTTTTCAATTTGGTAAAACATAGTACCTATATTAAATCGTATATACATATATTTAGAGAAAATTTTGAGCTGTCCAGTCGCTATGGACAGAAGATAAATTCGGAATAATTGAGCGTCCGGATTGCACAACGACCTTAGCGCGTGGACGCGGCGAGCCTAGTCGGTAAGTGAGGCGAAGACGCGTTGTTGCGCGCCGAATAAACAAAATAAATAAGTTTCAATCTATCATTGTTTCGTAATCTGTTCGGACAATGTTAGTTTTTACATAGAAATACACACGAGTCTTTAGCGCTTCCAACGAACCCAATTAAGTAGAATATATTTTTGATTTTTAACAATACCCTAACATTTTATATTTTTGGGTTAATAACCTCTGTTATAAATTTCAAAACTTACAGATATGAACGATTCCGATAGATGATTAAACTGAGTTTCTATAGCAGTTCTTGCGGTCTTTATAGGTGGTTTTCTGGAACGTAGTGGGTTTTTGTTTGCATCTTCAATATAATTATGTACTGGAAGTTCTCTGTTCTCAAGTATCTTTAAATATTCATTGATCAGCGAATTGGTTCGGCGGAGGTGAGGTGGTGGAATATTGCTTAGAACTGGTAGCCAGTGGGTTGGGGTGGATTTGATTACGCCAGCGACCATTCTCATATAGTTGTTTAACTGCGCGTCAATCTTTTGTACGTGACAGCTGTTAAGTCACACTGGAGCACAGTACTCCGCTACAGAGTAAACCAGTTCCACAGCAGACGATCTGATGCTCCCAATGTCGAACCACAGAATTTCTGGATAATGTTGTTTCTGGTCTTTTTTTCCGCAGTTTTAGATAGATGTACGTTAAAACTTAGTATTCGGTCAAGAGCGATGCCTAAGTATTTTGGGTTTTTATTCTGATTTAGTAATGTGTTATCAAAGTAGACATTAAGTTTCCTCTCGGCCATATCGTTGTTTAAATGGAAATATGATACTTCGGTTTTCGAAGCGTTATGTTAGGTTGGAGTCTCCATTTTCGAAAAAAGTTAAAATTTCTGAGGCTTCTTCCATTGATTTTGTTTGGATGGTTAGTTCCCAGTCGTCAGCATAGCCAAACTTTATTGATGTCGTTTTAGGCATATCTGCAATATATAGACAAACAACAAAGGTGCCAGTGCCGATCCTTGCGGCAGACCATTCTTAAGCTTTCTGGGGGTGCTGACTTCTGATCCCATTATCGCTTGAAATACTCTGTCATTAAGCATGTTCTCTATTAATCTCGCTGTGAATTTACAAGGAATTATGCGTAGGAATTTGTATATCATTCCCTCCCTCCAAACACCAAACAGTGTCTTTATAACTGGACTTATTCTATTATATATTATTCTTTCTAGTAATGTGTACATTATTGACAATAACGCAATTGGTCGATAACTTCCTGGTCGATCAGCTGATTATCAGTTTTTTGGACGGCTATTACTTTTAAGCGTTTACCTGCAACCTAACCAAACTCTTGTGTATTTTCCGCAGTTGAGAAGAAATTCAGGATGGATTCCGTCAAACCCTGTTATATCCTCGCTGGTGAAAGGACAAGAGTGTTCGACTTAAATCGGTTTCTGCCGATTCCGATTTAAGAATTTTCAGATGTTCTTTTACCCTTTTTGTGTGAGCTCTGTCTCTGGGTGCTCTGGATATATCCACAATTTGAGAGGCCACTGAGACTTTTCAATAATAAAACTAAATAAAAATGATTTGACATTTTTCAGTCTACGATTTTTTTCTTCAAAAATATATTCTAGAGCTAAAATTATGCAAAGCAAAATTTGTTGCTAGTCACTTTTGTTCTAGGGGTGAGAGGGAAAATTCGCTCGAGTACTCGATTATTGAAATAACCGACATCGCTCGATTATGAATGAGCGATGTAAGTCAACGCAAGCGATCCTAGAATGGAATAAATTGAAATCCGATATTAATGTGACATACTCGATAAAAAGCCGAGCGAATTTTCTACATACATTGCAGCTAGCAAATTTATTCGACGCCGTATATATATTTATCCGTGGCGTATCTGAGGGACAAAATTTTATGACCTACACGCGAAAAAACTACGAAACTACTTACGAAAAAATTACATGACCTCATCATGTAAGCAATATCATGTATCTTAACGTAGTTTTCTGAACCTGTATAAATTAAGTAATTTAATTAAAACGAAGATTTTTTTTAGATTGTGATAAAGGTGTGGCTATTGAAATAAAGCATGACGATAAACTATCTGAAGAAGAAGGTGTATATATACAAACCGCCTTGCTCTATACTTCATGTAGCGGCCAAAGACGATTAAGAATTTTAAATCTGTCACTTAAAGCATGCTCACAAATGGCTGATTTATACAGAAGTTGTGATCTAGACACCGTTATCAACTATATAGCGAAGCAGTCTACATATAAGTTATTAGATAATAATCCAAAAGTTGTTAAAGATACAATAGTTAATAGGGCAGCGCAAATCTTGGCGACCTATAGAAAGAATTGTGCAACTCCAAGTAGTGCAGGACAATTAATTTTACCGGAATGCATGAAACTTTTGCCTCTATATGTAAATTGCCTGCTGAAAAGTGATGCATTATCTGGCGGATCTGATATGTCAATAGATGATAGGGCGTTTGCAATGCAGTATGTTTTAATGATGAATGTTTCAACATCTGTGAACTATTTTTATCCCCGCCTTATACCAATTCATGATATAGATGCTTCTAAAGAAAAAGTGGAAATTCCAGCATCTGTACGATGCACAATAGAAAAAATTAATGATCAAGGAGTCTATATCTTAGGTAAGTAAAAGAGACAGGCAGTTGATTAATATATTCATTAAATTAAAAATTTCGTTAATAAAATTCATTTTCTATATTATCAAAACTTTTTATATCTATTTTTATAACTGAAACTGAAACCAGCTCTGTTCAGCTAACGAATATACGTTTTCACAGACATATAGGCTTGGTGCATTCTCCGCCGGTGCTGCCACCATCGAAGAATATCGTAAACGACTAGTATATATGTCACTGTAAATGTCCGAAATGCGGTAAAACCTAGGTTTTACTACCTAGGTTTTACCGCATTTCGAGTTGGTTAGCGTGGTTATTTGGAGGGTTTGAATTCATTGGTAAATCCTAGGTTTAGCGCGCTTATCCTAGGTTTTACCGCGCTTATTCCAGGTTTTACCGCATTTCGGACATTTACAGTAACATATACAAATACACCAGTTTAAATAGCGAGTATACAAAAAATGTTTTATATAATTATTCTAAAAGTGTTAGGAAGTATAATTTCAAAAAATTCTAAAAATAAAAGTAAAAAAGTAAATATTTTGATGTTTTGAGAAGGTCTAACTTGTATTATAATTTATTATTCCAGTTAAAAAAACTTTTTAGATGAGTTCAACTATTATAGCGAGCATAGTTTTAATCACCGGTTTTATTAGTGGTGTCATAATTGGGGCTATTTCGGCTATAACGATATTTTTGAAAGGCACATAATTATAATTTTAGAAGATGTTCATAAAACATTTAATCACTAGTTGATTAAAAAAAAGTATAGCATTAATATTGCAAATTATATTTTATCCTCTCATAGCATGTCTATTTAATTTTTGGATTATGTAACGAGCACTTTGTTTACTCACTTGTTTCATCGAACTGCTTGAATACATTTTTGCTTTTGATCAAATTGGTATCCAGGAAAATTGATACATAACGAAAATTTCTACTTTCTGGTATATACAGCGCTGCGGAACTGTGATGCACCATGCCTATAACTGAAACTGAAACCAGCTCTGTTCAGCTAAGGAATATACGTTTTTCACAGACGTATAGATAAACTAGACCCTTTTTTCTTGTAACTGTACTTATTCTGGGTTTATAATCGATATTGACTGTTTCTTTAAAAATATACCAATAATTTATTTGCATATTTTTTATAAATGAGTATATACCGGGTGCGTCTCAAAAGTGGCTCACCCCTGTAACTTTTTTATTTTTTCAGATAAAAAACGATATTTGGTATGTTAGTATGTGACATAAATTAGGATTAATTGACGTATTCGATTGTTTTTGATCACTTCTTGTTTCACCAACAATGACTACAACTTTTAATTTTTAAATGACATCGTCGCTATATTTCTACTTTATTCGATAGAAAATGACACTCTGAATAGAATGACATATCATATGTCAACTTTTGACATTTTCGCATATGGTTTATTTTAAATTGTAACATGCGATTCATAACCACAATTTGACTCGAAATACCAAGTGTATAATACCAAATTATTCGTAAAAAATGCTTTTTCAAAATATGCTAATGAGCCACCCTTGTTCCATTTGAAAAAATTGATTGAATTGAGATATGATTAAAAATACGACTTGGGCATCTTTTAACCGGCCAGGACAAGACACGAAAAACATTAGACGATCAAATCTATTTTTCCAAAGCTCTTGTATTAAAAACTAGTGTTTCTAACACAGCTATGGCACTCTAGATTGAAATTTAAAATACGATTTTCTTATAAGTGAAATTGTCAAAAGTTGACATATGACATGTCATTCTACTCAGAGTGTCATTTTCTCTCAAATAAAGTAAAGAAATACCTAGAGTGCCATTTAAAAATCAAAAATTGTAGTCATTTCCGGTGAAACAGGAAGTGACCAAAAACAATTGAATGCATCAATCAATCCTAATTTATGTTATATACTAACATACCAAATATCGTTTTTTTTATCTGGAAAAATAAAAAAAGTTATAGGGATGAACCACTTTCGAGATGCACCTAGTATACATAAGGAATAATTCTTGTATAATATGATAAAATTTAAATAAGTAAATTCGATGATTTTTATTGGTTCTAAGTTTAAATTAATTTATTATATTAATTAATTATATGACATTTCTAATAAAAATAGCGCTTGAATATAGTAGAATAAAAATAGTGCTTGAATTTTAAATGATTTTCAAGTAATTTTTATAACTGAATAAAATTTGTTGTGTATTATATCTTAAATTATTTTTTATAACAAATATTTCGAAACTGTTTGATCAAACTGTGTTACCGTTAAGGATATTGGTCGTCCAAAGTGTATATTTACTAAAATAAAATATTTTTTATGTTTAAGTGTATTATTTATTTTAGAAAATGGTTTATACATGTTTCTGTGGGTTGGACTTGGGGCAAGCCCTGAATTTGTTCAAAATGTCTTTGGCTGTCCATCAGCAATACAGATTGATATTGAACAGCCATTTTTACCAGAGTTAAACACACCTTTATCGATTGCCGTTCGAAACATTATTGAAGAAATTAGAATCCAAAGACATAGATGTTTAAGGGTAAGTTTTTATTAGTCTAGAGTATGGAGTGTAGAGGTAAGGAGAAACAACTCTTACGGGACTTTTATTGAAAAAGTCACAAAATGGGAAGAATAAGGGTTCGCCAAATAACCACAGTGGCGCTAAAAACGCATGAATCTAAAAAATGAAAAGTAACCATAGATAAGAGAATAAAAATAAATATAACCAAACATTACACCCAAAAAAAGTTTTGTTTTTATTTTTTAGATAGAGTTTTGGAATATAAAATAATTATTGTTTATCAATATTTTGTGCTTTATTTATTATTTAACAATGGTTAAAGTGTGTGTGGTGCGAAGTTGATTGAATAGCTGATGGAAAAATAAAGAGCAAAGGCAAAACCTACGGTATGTAAAATACATAATATAATTCAGTATTGTCAATCAAAAGTGTAGTAAACATTTTTCGTAAGATTATTGACATACATGTTACAAAGTATATCTTTACAATCCTTTTTATAAAGTTACAACCTAAATAAAATTTATTTTTAATGATTTTAAAGTTTGACAGACATACACAAATTGTGGGCATTTTTTTAAACAAGTAAAAGTAGGAAATACATAAAATTGTAGGTACTTTCAAGAAATATAGTTAACTGTAAGTGCTGTATTTTAATAATCTATCAAAAATCAAAATCATCACGATAATATTACGTATTGATTTTCAGACAAGAATTAGATTATTAGATGGTCAAAAGCATTTAGATATTGCTTTGAAATCTACAGATAAGGTATGGCAGTTTCATTTTAAAGAACAAGATGTTAAAGTTTGTGATAAAATTGTCATCAGAAATACTGTCCACTTCAGTATTTACATAGGAAAATATTGGAGGATGAAGCTCTACCTACTGCGTCAGGTTAATTTAAATTCTGAATTGCAACAACAGCAACAAGCAAGAAGGGCACCATTAAATGAATATTATACACATAAGTATAATTATACACAGAAAGAGTAATGTTATACACATAAATATTAACATTTTGTAGAGCAACAACAGAATAAAAAAAACAAAATATGAACAGCAGCAACTAAAACAGGAACCATTAAATGAATATTATACACGTAAGTACAATTTGATCGAATAAAAAACGGCGTCAGCGATGCCTATGAAATGAAGATTGCTGTCATTTTATATGTAAAATGATATGGAGAATGTCATCGAGATGTTCATTTCCAAGCCAATTGGACGCCGTGTTTTTTCGACCTTACAGTATTATTATACACATAAATAGTAATATTATACACATAAACATCCCTTGATAAAGATCAACATTTTGTAGAGCAATAACAGCATCAAATAATGGAAATAATGGACCCTATTGCTCAAATCAAAAACAAAATTTCAGCATTACCACTTTATTGGTTATATCAATAAAAGAAATTATTGAGTTTATGAGTCTAGATCCTACAAGCAAGCAGATCTATCACATAATTTTAAATGAAGATTTATCTATTATAGTATGTATAAACACTTTGCATCTTTTATTCAATGTTGTAATGAATTAACAAATTGCAGGTAATTTATTCTAATAACGAGAAAAAAACTTTGGATCAAAAAATATTTTCTTCTGATGAGGTTTATGAATATTAAAGTCTGTTGAAGTTTGGCCATTATGTGTTGGTATACAATTTATTTATGATGTTACAGTAGTTAAACTATCCGAGTACGAAACATGTTTAAAATCCACTATTCTTAATGAATGGCAACTACCAACTTGAGAGGAAGCTAAGAGAAAGGTTCTATTGGGTGGACTACAAGGAAAAGGGACATATACATGAGGATCTGGAAGGGCTATAACATTACGTCTCAAGCCATGGGACAATAGGAAACAAAATTCAAAGGAAAATATTACAATACGTGGGATGTTAAATTATAGTGCAAAGAATTGAGAAAAAGAATTATTAAAAGTAGTTATTGTTACGAGAGTTAAACCATCCGACTACCAAATATATTTAAAATCCACTATTCTGAATGAATAGCAACTACCAACCTGGGAGGAAGCTGCGAGAACGATTCTATTGGGTGAACTACAAGAAAGACATGAGTTATTTCACGTCCCAAGCCATGCAAGCCATGTTGGAATAGCTGGGAGTGAAAAAGAAGATAATACAGCACACAATTCTTGTCTAGAAGTAGTTGATATTAAGGTAGTTAAGCCATCTTATCGAACATTTAAAATCCACTATTCTAAATGAATGGCAACTACGATGGCAAAACGTAAATAAATACTTGTACAGTATAAAATTATATTATATTAGCTTAATTTTTATACTAAATAAAATGTGTTACGTTATTTTGACCTGCATTATATTTATCTATAAATCCCATATCATCAATTAAACTTTTAATAAAGTTTTCCTAATTATAATTAACATTAATTTTAAACTAAAGCTTTTTCATCTTGAATGAGATTTACGAAATAACTTATGAGAAACAATAAAAAAGAGGCTCAGTCTATTGCTTCTGAATAATCGATAATAAAACCACATATTGACTTACTTTTATAGGTACTAAATAAATGTAGGTATGAAGTTTACTCAGCCTTAAATGAGTACTTGGGATTCACCATCCTGAGGTAATAATAGGCGGTTGAAGCGTAGTGCTGGCCACATTACCTTCCTTGTATACCGAACGGCTCTAGTATAGCAAGCTGTACCTTGCTACTCCCAAGGCGTTAAACGCTATATACGGGAGCTATTATTATTATATGAAGTTATTTTAAAGCTGCATTATATTTATTTTAAACCCATCACCAATTATTACTTTAAATAATTTTTTTCTTAATTATAATTAACATTAATTTTAAGCTAAAACGATCAGAATATTTTTTCGTCGTCTTGAATGACATTTGCGAAATAACTTATGAGAAACAATAAACAAAAGGCCTAGTCTATTGCTGCTGAATAAAAATCTGTAATTTATTTCATTTGACATGAAAATAAAATTTGTATTTTTTTGAAACCCGCGGCTTCGCGTTTGCTTCACGTCAAATATTTATGTCTTGAATCATCTGTTCTAAAATGTTCGGCGCATGTCTTAAATTTTTGGATCTTGCTACAGCAGCGCCATCCTAATTCTTCCCTTTTTTTGACCATTTTTTAATGCACTGAGTTATTTCTCCTTACCTCTAAACTCCATAGTCTAGAGAAATCTTATATACTATTGTCAAGGTGTATGTAGCACTAAACTGTATTACTGGTTGCATAACTGCATTACTGCTACATAACCGCAACGTGCATTGAGGAACCTGGCGAATTCGCCAGAAAGTAAAAAAAAACAGAATTCTTTAGAACGTTCCAGAAACACTCGTCAGGGGGTATATAAAGGCCCGCGTTTTGGCAGTTGGAAGTTTGATAATACCGTGTTTTAAATTGTGAATTAATTGGCGAAGGTGCCAGTACCGTTAGAGTAATAGTAGTTGCATAAATTGTGTTGTAAATAGTATAAGTTGTGTGTACAGAGTGAGACAAATAAAATCGTTAAGTATTTTATCGTGAGTTTAAATTAGTGGACCCACAGAATCCGTAACATTTGGTGTCGGAAGTGTGTGCGATTCAAGAGGATTTTTAAGAAGAAATTAAGTGGATTGGAAGATTTTTAGACCGAATTAGAGTATTTTTATGGTTGGTACAAGGGAACAAGCGAAGAAAATGGAGGAAGTAAGCAAATTATTGGGCGATTTTATGGAGAATATGAAAAGAGAAAAGGTAGAAGAACAAGAGAGGCTGCGAAAAGAGAAAGCAGAAGAACAAGACCGCCTACAGAAAATTCTAGAAAATCAAGAAATTAAACAGGACCGGCTTGAGAACATTTTCGAAGATTTGAAAATTCAACGACAACAAGACAAACAAGAAGAACAGGACCGACTTGAGAAAATATTAGGTAATTTAGAAATTCGTTTGGAGGAGCGACGTCATAGAGAAAGACAAGAAATACACCTTCAAGAAGCCGTAGGAGATCTGGAGGAGCGCCTTCAACAGAAAATGGAAAAATTAGAGAAGAACCTACAGAAGACCAAGGCACAAGCAAGGACACCTGGCGTTCCTTGAACTGCGAACCTTAAGGCCCCAACCTTCGATGGACAAACCACCTGGAGCATGTACCACCGCCAGTTTGAAGCAGCCGCCGCTGCCAACGGATGGACCGACCAGGAGAAAGCAGCGGCACTTGTCATCGCGCTGCGTGGCCCTGCCCTGGAACTGCTGCAAACTATTCCTGCAGCTCAACAGCAGGAGTACGAAACCTTGGTTGCTGCATTGGACCGAAGATATGGCAACCAACATCGACGTCAACTTTACCAGGCCCAAATCAAGACACGCCTGCAGAGGTCCGGAGAGAGTCTGCAGGAATTTGAAGCAGACTTACGTCAGCTGGTACACCTAGCATACCCAGAAGCACCGGAAGGATTTAGGGAGGAACTCGCTGCTCAGTGCTTTATCAGCGGACTGAAGGACCAAGAGTTACAGAGGGAACTGCAAATATCGCGATTTTCGACCAGCAGCGAAGTACTCGTTAGGGCGCTGGAAATAGAAGCTGCATTTAGCGCCATTCCTAAACCGAAGATAGGCTCGGTAAATGTCGAGGAACAGCCAGAGTTCTCACCTACGTTTGGAAGAGATGTTTAATAAACTATGTGAGTTACTAGTGAACAAGAGAGTCAACAACACCCAGACAGAGAACCAGAGAAGATCCCAGGATATTAGGTGCTATAGATGTGGCAGGAATGGCCATATCCAACGGGATTGTCTCATCCAAATGCCATTCCGTTCATCATTAAGAGAACATCGGCACATCGGAAGATCCCAGGACATAAGTTGCTATAGATGTGGCAGGAATGGCCACATCAAACGGGATTGCCGCGTCTAAATGCGATTCTGTTTACCATCCAGAGAACATAGGCACCAGGAAATCAGTACTAATGAGCGAGTATTGGCTGAAGAAAACAGAGCCTCTAGAATGTTTTCCATTAGGAGTCTAGGAAAAACTGCTGACAGTTTGGTGATCAACGGGAAGGTTAATGGTAGAAGAATTCGAATGACTGTGGATACAGGCGCTATGGTATCGTTGGTGCGGACCATAGACTTAAAATAGAATATAGACTACACTATTTACATCTCAACGCGGTCAAACAAGCTTTTTTGTACACATGTTTACTTCTGGGTACAGTCGACCGAGCCTTCCTCATCCAGCCTATGTTGTCACGTCTTTAATATTATCAATATTTTTTTTTCTTGTTATACACCTATATTGAGATATTAATACTACAGTTTAATAAAGTAGGTTTTAATATTCCATAGATATATTAAATAGTCCTTATACTACTAAATTATAAGTCGGATACTGTTTAAAAAGGATAAGTTCTTTACAATATGACAACACCGATTAGATGCGAGGGAGCCTATTCATTCATTTATTACCTTGTAGTACGCGTGGCACGTGTGCGGTAAAGTTTTGTTGCCGCTATGTCCCCGGCTGTATTAACGCATTTTCTTAGCTTGTAGTCCTTAAGTGTTTATTTTATTGACTTTTTCTGTTCAAGAACTATAAAATATGGTTCGCCAGTGCCAAATTTGCAAGAAATTTGGCTTAAATAATCCATTTAAGTCTTGAAACGACTTTCGACCGGTAGGCAACTCTCAATTTACCCATTGGGGGTCAGTGGCGTTGTAGAAAGGCGCTTATTTAGATAATATTTTAGTAAAATGTAAAATCTGAATTTTTTCTCTTACATTACATTATTTACTTACTTACATTGTAACAAAATCATAATTATAACCCTGTTAATAATTAATAATGTTTTTATTAAAAATATATTCCGGTTTATTCTAAAATTATCTTCAGAATCTAAAATAACATACAAAAATTTTAAAATGATTTTACATTATGAAACAATATTTTTTAATATACCGGGTCGTCTCAAAAGTGGCTCACCCCTATAATTTTTTTATTTTTTCAGATAAAAAACAGATTTGTATGTTAGTAGGTACAGTACAGTACGTCTGTCCGTTCTGTAGCTACGGGGTATCCGTGAGAGAGGAAACAATATTCTCTCGATGTTTTTCGTAAAAAATTAAACGACGCGTCCCATCAATAAAAATTCGACAAATTTGCAAATAGCCAATAAAATGAGTGGGCGGAGCTATTTGCGGTGACGTACTCGTCAAGTCGACGTATAAAATATATTGCTGTTTATTTAAATGTTTTGTCCGCATTCCTTTCATAGACACAGATCTAGCAGACGTACTGTATATGACATAAATTAGGATTTATTGACGTATTCAATTGTTTTTGGTCTCTTCCTGTTTCCCCGAAATGATTACATCTTTTGATTTTTTCGGTATATTGCTACTTTATTCGATAAAAAATGACACTCTGAATAGAATGACATATCATATGTCAACTTTTAAATTTCAATCCAGGGTACCATGGTGTTGTTAAAAACACTAAGTTTTAATCAAGGAGCCTTGGAAAAATAGTTTTGATCGCCTAATGGGTTTCGTGTCTTGTCTAGGCCGGTTAAAAGATGTACAAATCGTATTTTTAATCATACA